TTGAACTCCTTTGCTGCAAATTCCATCACTTCTTGGGCTCAATTACAGCAAGAATTCCTCAAGAAGTACTATCCAGTGAGTAATACCAACCAAATGAGGCGTTTCATTCTTAGCTTTTCTCAAATTGATGGAGAACAACTCCATGAGACTTGGGAAAGGTTACAAGATCTTCTTAGGAAATGTCCGCATCATCTGATTCCAAATTGGCATTTGGTGCAAGCTTTCTATACCAGTTTAACCGAACCACATAGATTCATGGTTGACTCATCGTGTGAAGGGATGTTCATGTCTAAGAATGCGGATGAGGCTTGGACCCTACTTGAGAATTTAAGTGAAAATTCATTACAACATAATTCTCGTAGGGCCCCGACCTCAACCAATGCAAAGAACCCCACTTCCTATCAACCAAAAACATTGAGGGAAGAATCATCTCAAGTGGATGCCATAGCTCATAAATTTTATCAATTGATGGCACCACATCTTTCACCCTCTTTGTCTCAAAATTCGGCAAGTACGGTTTGTGCATCATGTACTAGTCCATTCCATCTTTCGGAAGATTGCCCCACACCGGAGCAATTTTCCAATACCAATCAAGAGCAAGCAAATGCAATGTTCTCAACGCCCAGGAATAATCCATATTCCAATACTTACAATCCGGGATGGAGAGATCTTCCGAATTTCTCGTGGAGGTAACAAGCCCCACAAAATTCTCAATTCCAAAATCCGGGGCATCAAAATCAGCCCCCTTCTCAATTTCAAAATAGGCAATTTCCAACCTCTTCAAGTTATCGTCCTCCGTATAATCCAAATGTCTCTGATCAACCTCCTGTGTTTCTAACCGATGAAATCTTGGCTGCAAACAAGCAAATAATGGAATCATTAAATAAGCAAATGATGGATTCCAACAAGCAACTCTTGACATCTTTGCAACCCACTCTCCAAATGGTTCATTCTCATACTTAGTCCACAGCTAACCTTGAGAATCAAGTGGGTCAAATAGCTAACTCCATGAATCAACTGCTCCAAAAGGACAAGGGTAAGCTTCCCGCTCAACCATTTGAAAATCCTAGAGGGATGCATGTGATTGATGAATCCCCTCCTTCGAGTGGGCCGAGTCATGAACATGTTCAAGCAATCACCACCCTTAGGAGTGGTTGAGTTGTTGACAACAAGGTTGATGGAAACAAAGATGACAAAAATTCTCCTTCTGAAAATCCAAAAGCTAGCTCCTCTAATCCAAATTCTTCTCAAGAAAATCCCAAGCTTGTCACCCCAACTGTGGAAACTTTTTATGAGCCAAAAGCTCCATTTCCTCAACGTCTCCAAGAGTCGACACATATTGGGAATAAGAATTATAAGATTCAAGACATGTTCGAAGTTTTCAACTTAACTCTTTTGGATGCTATCAAGCAAATCCCTCCCTATGCAAAATTTTTTAAGGATTTGTGCACTCAAAAACATACTTCTAAAAATCATTTGCCAAAGAAAGTGAGGTTAACTGAGAATGTTAGTGCTATCATTCAGCACAGCAGTCCTCTAAAGTATAAGGATTCGGGTGCCCCGACAATTTCGTGTGTCATTGGTGACAACAAGATAGAGAGGGCCCTCCTTGACTTAGGAGCTAGTGTGAATTTAATTCCATACTTGGTTTACTTACAGCTTGGTTTGGGAGATCTTAAGCCAACTTTTGTGGTCTTGCAACTTGCCAATAGATCGGTCAAGCATCCATGTGGCATTCTTGAGGATGCCATAATCAAAGTAGACAAATTCTACTTCTCGGTAGACTTTGTGGTTCTTGACACGGAACCGGTCCATGACCTAAAGAAGCATATTCCCGTGATCCTCGGTAGGCCATTCTTAGCTATGGCTAATGCTTCTATTAACTACCGAACTAGGGTGATGGACATTGCCTTTGGAAACATGCAAGTTAAACTCCATATCTTCCATGCAACACAATATCCCTCCAATGAGGATGATTATTTTCTTGTTGATGTCATTGATGAAGTGATTGAAGAGTTTCTCCCCTTCATTCTAAGCAAAGACCCCCTTGAAACTTGTATGTCTTATTTCGACTTCTCAAACTTTGACATTGATCAATCCATCCAAGAAGTCAACTCTTTGCTTGATGTTGGTGCTATCTTGGATACTCCTCCTTGGAAAATTCCAAAAGAACCGATTCCTCAACTCTCCACTACTCCTCCAGTCCCGTCATTGAAATCTCCTCCATAACTTAAGCTAAAGCCGCTCCCGGCTCACCTCAAGTATGTGTTTGTGCAAATCAAACACGTCTAGTCATCATTGCATCAGACCTTCTTAAGGACCAAGAAACCAGCCTTTTAGTGGTGCTTCAAGAGCATAAAGAAGCTATTGGCTAGGCAGTGGCTGATTTGAAAGGAATCGACCCCTCTATTTGTATGCAACGCATTCATATGGAGGACGATGCAAAGCCTACTAGAGAGGTTTAACGCCGATTGAATCCTAATATGAAGGAAGTGGTCATAAAAGAAATGATCAAATTGCTAGATGTGGGAATCATCTACCCCATCTCTGATAGCAAGTGGGTAAGCCCCACGTAAGTTGTCCCCAAGAAATCCGGCCTCACCGTTGTTGAAAATTCAGCGGGTGAGCTCGTGCCGCAACGAACCACCACCGGGTGGCGTGTGTGCATTGACTACTGGAAACTCAACTCTTCAACTAGGAAGGATCATTTTCCACTCCCATTCATTGATCAAATCCTAGAAAGGCTAGCCATCCAAAGCTACTATTATTTTCTGGACTGTTATTCTGGCTATAACCAAGTGGCAATCGCCCCTCAAGATCAAAAGAAAACAACCTTCGCATGTCCCTTTGGAACGTTTGCTTATCGACACATGCCTTTTGGGCTATGAATACTCCGGTAACATTTCAAAGGTGCATGATGTCCATATTTTTTGATATGGTAGAAAAGTTCTCGTAAGTTTTCATAGACGATTTTTTCATATTTGGCTCCTTCTTCGATTCATGTCTTCACAATTTATCTCTTGTACTTCAAAGATGTAAGAAGACAAATCTAATTCTAAGCTGGGAGAAAAGCCACTTCATAGTCCAAGAAGGCATTGTGCTAGGACATGTAATTTCTAAATGGGGAATTGAGGTGGACAAGGCTAAGGTTGAGTTAATTTCTAATCTTCCTCCTCCGAATTCCGTCCGTCAAATCCGTTCCTTCCTTGGCCATGCCAGATTCTATCGTCGCTTCATCAAAGATTTTAGCAAAATCTCTCGGCCCTTGTGTAATCTTCTTGCCAAGGATGTTCCATTCAATTTTGATGAAGCTTGCATGGAAGCTTTCATTAAACTTCGCACTCTTCTCTCATCCGCCCCAATCATGAAACCGCCAAATTGGTCTCTTCCTTTTGAGATCATGTGTGATGCATCCCATTATGCATTAGGCACGGTTTTGGGCCAACGTGTGGAAAAACTTCCATACGTCATTTATTATGCTAGTAAGACTCTTTCTGATGCTCAACTAAATTACACCACCACTAAAAAAGAGTTGCTAGCTGTGGTGTACGCCTTGGATAAATTTCGCTTTTATCTCTTGGCTCCAAGGTCTTAGTTTTCTCGGACCATGCCGCTCTTAGGCACTTGCTCGCCAAAAAAGAGACAAAACCCCGCCTAATTCGATCGATACTCTTACTCTAAGAGTTTGACATTGAAATCTGGGACAAAAAAGGGACTGACAATGTTGTTGCAAACCATCTCTCTCGCTTACTTATTGAGAAATCCTCTGAATTTGCTACAATCCGAGATTCCTTTCTGGATGAGCAACTCTTTCAAATTTCCCATTCAAGTCTCCTTTGGTTTGCGGATATTGTCAACTATCTAGCGGTAGGCAAAATCCCATCTAATTGGTCCAAACAAGAGAAATAATGGTTCTTTTCCCAAGTCAAGCATTTCTTTTGGGAAGATCCGGAATTGTTCAAATATTTCCCGGACCAAATCATCCTGCGATGTATCCCTGAAACCAAAACCATAAGTGTTCTAAATTTCTGCCATACTCTTGCTTGTGGAGGACACTTTAGTGCCAAAAAGACCGTTGACAAAGTCCTTCAAAGTGGATTTTATTGGCCTTCCTTGTTTCGGGATGCATATAATTTCTGTAAATCATGTGAGTGATGTCAAAGGCTCGAATCCATGTCTAGGAGAGACATGATGCCCCTCATTCCCATCTTAATTGTTGGAATTTTTGATGTATGGGGGATCGACTTCATAGGACCATTTCCATCTTCTTATGGCCATGAGTACATCCTTGTAGTGGTGGATTATGTTTTCAAATGGGTTGAAGCCGAGGCTACCAGAACAAATGATCATAAAGTCTTGATCAAATTCATTCAGTCCAACATCTTTAGTTGTTTTGGTACGCCCCGAGCAATCATCTGTGACGGTGGATCTCATTTTAGAAATCGTTATCTTAAATCCGTCCTCTCTAAATACTCTGTCATTCACAAGGTTGCCACACCTTATCACCCTTAAACGAGTGGTCTAGTGGTGGCATATCTTGGAAAAAACGGTTCGACCGGACCGTAAAGATTGGTCATTAAGACTAAATGATGCACTTTAGGCTTACCGGACGGCTTACAAGACGCCCATTGGGATGTTGCCATATCGGCTTGTCTTTAAAAAAGCTTTTCATCTCCCAGTCGAATTAGAGCACCATGCTTTTTGGCCATAAAAAGGCCCAACTTTGATCTCAAACAAGCCGGTGCTACTCGTAAATTGCAGCTTAACGAACTTAAGGAAATTCGAAATGATGCGTATGAAAGCGACAAAATCTATAAGGCAAAGACTAAAGCTTTTCATGACAAGCACATTGTCAACAAGTCTTTCACCCCTAAATTGAGTCCTCTTTTAAGGAATTGAAGATTAGATTGACTACAGCTCCAATACTAGTGATACCTGAGCGTGGCTTGGGTTATGTTGTCTTTTGTGATGCTTCTCGGGAAGGTTTGGGCTGTATGTTGATGAAGGGTGGTAAGGTAGTGTCTTGTGGATCTAGACAGTTAAAGATTCAGGAGCTTAACTATTCCACTCATGACTCGGAGTTGGCAGCTGTTGTCTTTACTTTGAAAAGCTGTAGGCATTATTTGTATGGTGAAAGATTCAAGGTGTTCTCAGATCACAAAAGTCTCAAGTACCTTTTCTTTCAGATGAACTTGAATAACGGACAAAGGCGATGGGTTGAGTATTTGGAAGATTATGATTTTAATTTGCAGTATCATCCGGGTAAGGCGAATATGGTAGCAAATGCCTTAAGCCAGAAATCTCATGGAGTTTTGGCTGGCCTAGCCATTCAGAAATGGAAGATGTTAGAAGATCTGGCAGAGATGGGATTACAGTGTTATGATGATAGTGTTGGTTGTGAGTCAGCTTTTCTGTTTCGTCTTGTGGTTCAACCTACTCTTATTACACGGGTGATTGAGTCATAGAGATAGGATTCAGATTTAGTTGCCATTCATCAGTTGATTTTAGGTGGGGACACAGTAAAGGATTGGACCTTACACACGGATGGTGGTTTATGGTTCAGAGGTTTGCTTGTGGTTCCTACGATTTGTCAGAAGGATGTGTTACGGGAGTTTCACACTTCTCGTTTTACTGTGCATCCAGGTGGTACTAAAATGTCTCATAATTTGAAACGCTAGTATTGGTTGAATGGGATGAAAGTAGATCTAGCTTAGTTTGTCATCAGATGTTTTACCTGTCAGCAGGTAAAGGTAGCGCATCAGAGACTTGCAGGTTTGTTGCAGCCATTGCCAGTAGCACAGTGAAAATGGGAGTGTATTGCTATGGATTTTGTGACAGGACTTCTGAGGTCACAGAGGGGGAATGAGTCTGTATGAGTCATTATTGATAGATTGACTAAGACCGCTCACTTTTTGCCTGTTAAGGCGACAAATTCTGCTGAGGTACTTGGCAGATTGTATATCAGAGAGATCGTCAGATTGCATGGGGTTCCATTGTCCATTGTTTTAGATAGGGATGCCAAGTGCACATCGAAGTTCTGGAAAGGGCTTCATGCAATGTTTGGTTCACCGTTGCATTTCAGTACGGCATTCCATATGTAGATGCACGGCCAATTGGAGCGTACTATCCAAATCTTGGAAGATATGCTTCGGGCCTGTGTACTTGATTTTGGTGGTAGTTGGGAGGATCATTTTCCTCTTGTTGAGTTTACCTATAACAATAGCTATCAATCGAGTCTTGAGATGGCTCCTTTTGAGGCGTTGTATGGTAGGCTTTGTCGTTCTCCTGTTTATTGGACAGAGGTGGGTGAGACAGCCGCCTTAGGGCTGAACGTTGTGTTGGAAACTACAGAAAAGATTAAGTTGATTCGGCAGCGGTTGTTAACTACGTAGAGCCGACAGAAAAGTTACGCAGATAGACGGAGACGACCATTATCCTTTGAAGTGGGAGACCACGTGTTTCTCAAGGTTTCTCCACGAAAAGGATTATTGCGATTTGGAAAGAGTGGCAAGTTGTCACCTCGTTCCATTGGGTCATTTAAGATTTTGGATTGAGTAGGTGAGGTTGCTTACAGATTGGCATTGCCACCACAGATGGACAAGGTCCATAATGTGTTACATGTTTCGATGTTGTGAAAGTATGAGCCGGATCCATCACATGTATTGAGTTGGGTTGACTTTGACATTGATGAGGATGTTTCTTACGATGAGGGACCGGTTCAGACTCTTGACACTCGGGACAAAGTGTTAAGGGGTAAAACGGAGACTCTCGTAAAGGTTATGTGGCGACATCACGGTGTTAAGGAGGCTACGTGGGAATGGGAACAGTATGTTCGTTCTGCGTATTCGAGTTTCTTTTCTTCCCTAGGTATGACTTGATTTCAGGGACGAAATCCTTATATGTTGGGGAGATTGTGAGCACTAGCATTTTTATCATTTTCCTGGTCATTTTGACATTCATACATTTTATTTTATTGTCAGAATTATGATTATTTTACAAATATGTGTTAAATTAATTAAATGTCATTTGTTTATTTCATAAAGGCATTATGGACTTTTTGTTTTATAAATGACATATATGGTATTTGATTTTTTTATAAAGGGCAAAGTAGATTTTTATTATGCAAAATAGCATAATTGGGATTTGGTTAGTTGTGAAAGGGTATTCTTAACTTTTATCATGCACATGTCATGAATGGTATTTGGCAATTGTTGATGGGCTTATTAGTCATTTTACATAGTCTCACCTTTGACTATGTGTGTGCATGACACCTATGGGTGTGATAAGGCAGCCACCTTTTGTATTTTTTTACTTATAACAAATTAGCTGAAGGATTGATACAAAGGATTTTCTGCAGAATTTTTGTACCTAAGGTTTCTTCTTCATAGTCACCTTTGTGTTGCTTCATTTTAATGCCTTTGTGTTGAGAATTTGAGAGGGATTTGTGAATGAAAATTGTTCCTAAGGGAGAGGACTTCCTTATGGTATAAAAAATGCAGCCATTTCATCATCTTTGAATTATAAAAGTGATCCTGAAAGGGGAGGGGTGTGGTGTTGTGAAAAAGGTGTTCCTCACCTTCTAGTTGTTGATTTTGATCCATTTTTAGTGTGGCTTTGAATGGTTTAGCAAGTGTTCAAGCTTCTTTTGAGGTAGGATTGTCTAACTCCCAATTCCTTTGCCTTTAGTGAGTTGATTTCTTTCAAATTTTGACTTGCAAAGTATATACAAACAAAACTGAAATTCTGTGGTGCTGAAACTTCATTACACGCTACTATTTTGCTCAAAATCATATAAATTCGTAATTTATCTTTTAGAGATGATTTGATATTATGATAATATAGTTAATTAGCTATCATTGTGAATTGGTTTCACTTAAATTGGTTGAGAAATGAATTTATTACGAATTTTTGAAGTTAGAATGTTCTTGCTGGAAATTCTGGGATGGAGCAGTTTTTGTCTGAGTCTTTCTCATCAAACCTACATTAAATGGTAAGGTATTTTGATGAAATAAAATTTTATCTTGAAAATATAGTCTTTGACTTTTAGTGGCCTTTGGATTCACTCAATTTGGACAAAAATTGAATTTACTATGAATATTTGAAGATACAAGCTACATGCTGGAAATCAGTTTCTGACAGATTTTTATTTCGAATTTTTGGATCAAAACTGTTCCACTTGGGAAGGGATTTTGTTAAACTAAATTGACACTCTCAAAGTACATAAATGTTATTTCGGACTTTATAACTTTAATGTTGTAATAATTGCATCTTATCTATGTATTTTCAGTCTTGCTTTGTTTTGTAAAGGGAAATAGATAGGTGGATATGTGATTGAGACAGGTTACAAGGATATTTTTTTTGATTTTGAAACTGTGATTGTTTATGTGTTGTGTCCACAATCCGGGCTACGGTCTAAGGGCGTGACATTAATCTTCACTTGCCTGAATCTTTCAATGATTTCATTGGTCTTGGTCTTTTGTTTGTTAAGAGAAATGGATCCTTTCAAGGCATCCAGAAATAGAGCTTTAGGCTCAAAAGCTTTTTCAAAATTTTTCTCTAAATCACTTTCAAAGCAAGAATTTTTCAAATCATTGTTCAATTCATCTTTCAAATCATTTTTGATAACTTTCTCAACAAAATGATCATGCACATGCAATGAAGGAGGAATAAAATGTGAAATGGGACGGGTGTCAACTTTTGATTGCACCAGTTCACTCTCTTCACTGGAAATACCTACTTGGTTGTCAACAATTCTCCCACTTCTCAAGGTTGTCACCGCATTGACATGCTTAATTGTGTAACCTTTTGATGGGGAATGAGTCTCCACAACACATTGTTGCTTTGGTGGTGCATTCAAAGGCATCTTCCTTTTCTCTTTAGCATTCAAAGTACTAGCTATTTGCCCGACTTGGGTTTCTAGCTTAGCAATGGATTGGGAATGGGAATGAAGCAATTGAGTATTTGCCTCTAGAGTTCCCAAAGCGGCCAACACTTTCTCCTCAAAAGCAGGACTCCTTGAGTTTCTTTAAGAATACGATGATTGGTTAGGAAAATGAGAATTTGAGAATTGATTACTGTAATGACCTGGTCTTTTTCCTTCTTTTCCTTTTTCGGCGATTTTTTTTTTTCGTTTTTTTCTCGTTTATCGTTTTTCCTTACATAACCTCACTTGTGCTCGGATTTGATTCCAGTTTTGCATGCATTCATGATACTAGGTTTCCATGATAGTGGTATTTTTACTTTTGTAGAAAATACATTCTAGTTGCTTACTTTTTCATAAAAGGCATGGATGCATACTTTAGTGTAATTATTCATTATTTTCGGGATTTTTGTGTAATTAGATAAAGTAATTATTTTACGTTTTAGGGACCATTTTGTAATTTATTTTGGAAGATATTTTCAAAAAGGACCTTTTTGTAATTTTTGAGAAATGTGATAAGTGTCACATTCTCATGGTGCCACTTGTTGGCAAGTGGGTGGAGTGACTTGGATGTGTAATCTCTTGACATTTAGAGGGTGGAGATTCACCCACTTGTTAGCCTAGGATTGGAGCACTTGTTGGTTTAGATGGTTGACAAGTGTAGGCTTAGGATTAAGCCTAGGAAGGAGTATTGGATTTGTGACAAGTGTAGGATCATGATTTAGTCTTGCATTGTGTGTGTGTGAGAGATAGTGTAAGAACACATAGTGAGTGGAGGATTTCTAGCCCTTCCACTCACCATTTCACACTTTATATTTTCCATTTCACATGTTCTTCAAGAACCCTAGCCTAGCCACCATTGGAGAAAAGCTTGGTTCATAGCTTTGACTTCATTTTTGGCTTCCTTCTATTCACCCTAGACTTAGAACCTTGGAACACAAAAGTTTCACCTCACTCTCCTCTTCATTAACCCTAAACTTGTTTTCTATTTTGAGCTTGGTTGCTTGGATTATAGAGATTCAATTCTCTATTGAGGTAGGGGTGGTAGTATATTTATATTTTAAGTGTTTTAAAATCCTTTGGGGTTTAATATATATTATATACATGCTTTTAGAATTGTAGTATTGCATACTATAGGAAATCCTTATGATTGACTTAGGATTTTATTGATTAAGCATGTATATTGTGTATGTATCTTGAGTAGGATTGTTGATGTTGTGTAAAACTCTTATTGACTTGAATTACTATACTATTATGATGTTAATCCTACATTCTAGTAGATTACTATTGGTAATTATAATTGTTTTAGAAGTTTATTGCTAAAATGCTAAGATTTAGTATATAAAGCTTGTTGTGGAGGCATGATTTAAATTGATAAGTTAGTGGTATTATTTTGCATATCTTATCATGTTAAAGACTTGTCATATATTATTCCATTCTAGACTTGGAACCCTAAGACATGGTTTGTGTGGTTTCAAAATGCTTGTGCATGGAAGGTGGTATATATGCCTTAATATTATGTATAAGTTTTGAACTTGATGTATTTTGGATTCTCTTGGGACATGGTTGCAAGTGACATGGCTAGAGTTTAGCTCTAGTGTGGGAGGTATGAGTTCTCCCCAATTGAGATAGTGCGCACTTAAGGTGGCCTTCCCTGCGGGTTAATGCCCAAAATAACCGTTGAGGTCTCGGCAGAATTCCGAGCTTTGGTGTCCAAGGATTCCACTTTTTGATTTAGCATTCAATTCCAAGTTGACAATCAATGTTTAAGTTATAACTTGTAATTTTAGTTTCATGCGATTTGATGTTGTTAAGTACATCTATTTTCATATTTTGTTGCTAGATTTATTTAAGTTAGCTTAAGATGATGCCTTAGAACACATAGAACATAGACGTTAAGTGGAATGCTCCCTTGTATTCGTCTATATTGATCTTGCAATGATATT